AGGAGTCAATAAAACACATTTTATTTTCAAAAACAAACATACAAAAAAAAAAGTTGTTTGAAAATTGTGTCCCTTGAACAGATCCACTCCAAGACATTTTTAATTATTTTTTTAAACCATAATTTCTAAGTTGAACAGGCACACAGAAAACCTCATCTCTAAAAAAAAGAGAAGTTGACATAAGAACTATTTAGGCCCAATACTTGAAACACAGCTGAAGCTGAATGGCCTAGGGTGATGAAAGATCTTTACAAAACCTAAACTCAAAGCAGATATTTCACTGTTGAAGCTGGAAAATACACAGCAGTTTTTCTTTCCTGAGCAACATAAGTTTTAATTTCCTAGTTTTGCTCTAAGTTCTTTGAAAGAAAAGGTTTTTATTTTCATTCCCTTAAGAAAGAAAACAACTTTCAAATGCCTTCTTCCAATTCACAACAAACCCAGTTCAGGGAGCATATAGAGAGGAGCAAAGATTAAAAGCTTTCCCACAGAAATCTTACAACAACTAATGGCAAAATAATTATTAATAACAAAATACTCCTCAACACAACATTTTGAATTATACACGTTAGCTTTGCCAGTTAAATGAAAAATCACCAAAATCCACAATGGGATCCACTCCAAGTTTCTTGTCGCTCAGGTCAGCACAGCTAAAAAGCAGGGATATGACATGGGTGACATCCAGCTGGTGGCAAGTACTCTCAGTGAGCAAGCACCTACCTTCTGCTAGACAACGGGTCTCTTAAGACCTTGAAGAGATACTCTACACATGCTACTATGCAACATGAAATCAATGGATGAAGAGGTTGCTTCATAATCCCTCTGTATGAGCTCAAACTCCTAGCTGATGTAACTATCATAAAACAATTTAATTTCTCTACCACAGTAAAGTTGAGAGATTTAAAAACATGCAGGAATTGCATCATTTTTTTTAAATACAGTTTTAAAGTTTCATTAATTGAGTTACAGAATTCCCTTCTAGAAAACAATAATAAAAAGTGCCCCAAAGAAGCAGTTTCATTTAGCTCTCTTGAAGTATGCACAGATATAAATAAAATTCCCAAAGCCTGTGATCTTTCTACTAAAGTGTGGCAATTAACTTCTTTAACTAATATGAGTAGTTATGTTTATTTTTTGTTTCTTAAGATCCTGTTTTTAGTAGTAATATCACTATTTAATATAACCTATAAAGTTATATCGTACACAATCACTAACAAGCTTAATATAAAGGTTTTAGCATTACACGTTAACCTGATAGAAATAATGAATTTTAGATTTTTAAGGGTTGCTCTTTTTTTCCCAAGGCTTTGAAAAGAATGTTATTTTTTTCACAGATTAAGCTCCAAAAAAAGCCCATCTTTATAAAAGTTAAAAATTTCCCTGCTATGTAGCAGATACAGCCCCACCAACTAACCCGGGCAAGGGCAGGAAAGCAAGAGGAAGCCGACTTACAAAACTGAAAGAAGTGAGCACAATGAGGAAAAAAAAGTTAACAGACGTCCAAAATCCTTCTTATTTCTTATATTTGAAAATCTACAGCTAAGCAGAAAAGATGCATCCATCTATAAATCTATGTATCTATCTGGGTGTACAGGAGAATCTGTCCTTTAACCTGATAACAAGCAACAGCACAAGAAAATTTCCCTGGCCCAAAGGAGCCTACCCCTTACTGGAGCTCTGCCATTACGGAGCGCACATCCCCACCTGATTTCTCCACGCGCAGACCTACAGTACATCACAGTACACAACTTTCCCGTGACACGCCAAGTTATTACCCCCAGTGGGACCTTTTTACATGCAGTCTCCACGGCAAACAAAAGTTCATTGTCAAGCTCAGCGCTTGGGCCCAAACAAATATCCAAAGGGGGTAGGAGGGGGAGAAAGGGGGGAAGCACTCCTATCCACAATCATAAGATTTGCAGGCAATCACTGTTACTTACAATTAAAAAGTGGGAACAGGTGTAGGAGATATCATACTTTGATAGCTGAACAAAGAATATTACAGCACGTGACTGAAATGTGATGACATTTGTTCACCAATCGAAAACAAAAGCCACTCTCCAATGGCACTCTTTCCTCCACCCCCAAGAATTAGGAACTTGGAAATCTCTCCATATTGAAACACATCTGTTCATAGCCTCATTTTCTGACACTTGAGAAGAAGTTGAATGAAGAGCTCCATGCATTAATCCAATACGAATTCACCCAAAAAAACCTCGTTGTACAATCCCATCAGCACCCACCAAACTGCAGAAGGTGGGTAGGGGGAAAGCTCTACCGACAGCGAAGCTCGGAATAATAAAGAACGGAAAAAAATCAAAACACACGCTACCACCAAAAAAAAAAAAAAATACCCTGCAGGAAGGCAAGTGAAGAAAGGAGCATGCACAAGAGGACTACACCAAATGGCAGAGTCCCACATAGAGCCCCACTCCACCTACACGGGCGCAGGAGGGAGGGAAAAAATAAAAATAAGGAAGTGCCCGTACCCAATGCCGGAGCAGGAGTGGGCACCCCCGGGCCCCAGCCCCGTACCTGTGCGGGAAGGGCAGCCCCAGGGCGAGGGGGGCAGGCCCGGCTCCGGAATAACAAGTTGCTGAAGAAACGGAATTTTCCCGGCGCTGCTTGGGCCACAAAGACGAATGAAAGGAAGGAGGGAAGAAAAAAAAAAAAAAAAAAAAAAGACGCAGCAGCGGCTTTACTACGAATTATCCATCATCAAGAGCGGCATCATTTCCCAGATAATAATAAAACTTCCCCGACAGCATCGCGCCGAAGGACCCGACGAAGAGAAAAGGGCCTGGAAATAATCATCCTGAAGGAAACCGGAGGGGAGGGGATAAGCCTCCCTCCCCCACCCCATCCCCAGTGCAATGTGTCATCTCCTTCCCCTGCTCCTCCCCCCAACCCCAATGTGTCACCTCCTCCTTTTACCCCAAGTGTCACCCTCCTCCACCTCTCCCGCTCCCGCTCGCAAACTTCTGCCGGGGAGGCCGGGGGGCCGCCCCGGGACGCTCCGCTCTTCCCCGCCACCCCCCCGAGGGAGGGGCCGGGGGCCGCGGCGAAGTTGCTGCTCCTCATCGCCAAGTTGGCCGGAGAGTGCGGGGCGCGCCGGCGCCATCCCGGGGGGCGCGGGGGGGAGAGGGGGACGGCGCCCGGGGGCGGGGGCAGGGAGGAGGAGGAGGAGGCGAATCCGAAAGGTGGGATACTACACCCTGCTGGCGGCGGCGGTGGTGCTGCGGGCCGGCCGGGGTCCCCCTGGCAGGACCTCTCTGTGAGGGGGAGGACTCTTCTTCATAGGGGGAGGGTGCCGGCGCCGCCGCTCCTCTGGGCCTCCCTGTCCCCCTCTTCTGGGCGCCTCTCTCTCTCTCCTCCTCTCACTTTCTTTAAGCTAAGCGGGGAGTGGAAGATGGTAGGTTGCTCCCTTCTCCTCCTCCTCTTCGCTCGCTCTCGCCTCTGTGGGGTCCTTTTCCTTCCCCCTCTCCGCGGGGGGCTCCTCCTGCGGCGGGGAGGAGAGGGCGGGCGGGGAGGGCGGCACGAAGCCGGAGAGGCGCAGGAGGAGAGAAACTGTGACACAAAAACAAGCCGAGAAGCTGAACTCTTCTTCAATCCCATTCACCCGGCCCGGCCGCAGCACCGCTCGCTGGGATCCCTCCGCCGCCGGCCTCCCTGCCTGCCTGCCTGCGGCGCGCTCCCGACACGCCGCCGCGCGCGCCCCCGCCCGCCCCGGCCTGGCCCGGCCCGTCGCCGGAGACCCGTAGAGGGAGCGGGGACCGCTGGGCCCACGCCCACGCTCCCCCCTCCCCGCTGTGACGGCGGGGCACCGCCGGCCGGGCCCGGGCCGGGAGGGAGCCGGGAGGGCGGGCTCGGCGGCTTCTCCTAAGGGGGGACTACTTGACGTGTCGGTGCGGCGAATTTATTTCCCTTTGCCTAAGGAACGGGCTGTGCTGCGGCCCCCATTGCCTAGGGAAAAAGCCCGGATGTAAAGTGAGTGAAACTAAAGTAGAGTGAAGTAGGGCACCAAACTCTGCCGGAGCAGCGGCGCCGCCGGCCGCGGCCGCGGGGGGCACCGGGTGGCCGCGTGGCCCCGCACCGCCGGTACCGGGCGGCCGTGAGGGCGCGGGGACCGGGGGGAGCGGTGCGAAGGGCGGGGGGGGCCGCTCGCCGGCCGAGTCGTTCCCCCTACACCCCCATCACCCTCCTCCCCCGCCCGCCCGGCCCGGCGCGCGGGGCTCGGCGGGGCGGCGCGCGGGCGCGCGCGCAGCGGCGCGCGCAGGCAGCGGGCGGGGGAAGCGGCGGCGCGCGGGGCCCCGCCGCGAGGGGCTCCGCACAGGAAGTTGATGCAACAGGGCCGGGGGGGGGCGGGGGGCGCGCGCAGGAAGCGGCGGCGGGAGGAGCGCGAGAGCGGCGGCCTCGTCCCCCTGGATCATCATCCCCCTGGATCATCGTCCCCCTGGATGAGCCGCGGATGCGCCACGGCCCGGCCGCCCGGGCCAAGAGCCGCCCTCCTCCTTCCCCTCCCCGCCCCGCCGGCCCTGCCATGTTATTCGCAGGAATAGCGCACCCGCTCGCCGCGGCCGGGCAGGCAGGGAGGGTGTTCCCTCCCCCGCTTCGCCGTTCGCGCAGCGGGGTTGGCTTATTTATTTATTACTACTCCAGCGCCGGGCGATGCTGCCATTTGCTTTCGTGCGAGCGGCGGCGCATCAGTTTCCCTGCCTTTTTTTTTTTTTTTTCTTCCTCCCCTTCCTTTTCTAATTCCCCTCCCAAATGGGGAAAAAAAAAATCCACAAAATCAAGAAAACCCAAAGCCATGGCCAGTTAGAAACTTTCATAAGCAGGTTCAAAACAAGGAAGTTGCACGCCATGGATTAAAAGGTTTCTGCGGTGCCCGTTGGCGTGAAAATCAAACAGACGTGACTTGGGCTTGGGGGCTCCTCGCTCCCTCCCTCCGTCCCTCGCCCCCAGGGGCGGTGCCGGGCCCGCCTGTGCCGGCGGCTCGGGGACCACCGTCCCCCCAGCTCCCAGCTCGGACACAATGAGCTGCGGGGGGCTGCCCGAACGCGAGCAGCCAACCTGTGCGGGGTCAGTCCTTATCTACTATACACTGCCTTAAATTACAGGCATGCCTCTGTGCGTCTCCGCCTTCTGAAAGTCTCCGGAGTCTCAGAAATACTTAAAACCTCGCCTTTATCTCGGAGCCACCATTGCTAAGGCAGTGGGACATGTTCTGGACGCTGCGGAATTTGCATGAGCTCTCGCAAAAAGACCGAGTTTGATGCAATGCATACCCCATTTTTTTAAAATAGCCTCTCTCATCACTTTTATTTCTTCAGAATGCTCACAAGTTGTGAATAAAAGTGTTTGCATTATCTCTGCAGATGCTTCAGGAAGCCACGATGAACTCATTATTTTATTGTGAAACTAAATCCATAAAGCAGTCATGATGAGTAACTCGGGAACTTGTCGTAATTGGGCAGTAACGCACAGTTTTATCATCTGGAGGATTCTAGTGGGCTCAATGTAAGTGAGCATTTACAGCAAGGTTTCCTCTCAACTGTAAAAAAATATTGGGCCATTGTTTATTTAATTACTCTTAATTTCCCCGTTCTTTTCCATCAGGTGGTTGCCAATTCTGAACGATTTAATTGTGAACTTTACAACATTTAGTGCCCTTCTTAAAGCTGTAGCTCCTGGACTCATACAATTATGCAAGAAACTCAGGGGTTTTGTTTTCTTTTTAATGAAGTTTCTAGCCTGTGGATTTGTGGATGTGACCTTAAAGACACAAACCTTAAAGGAACAGAAAGGAAAAGGTACAAAGCATCCAAAAATGCCTTTTTTTTTTTTTTTCTTCAATGTCACTTTGTTTGGCTTTTTCTTTTCGAGGCAATCTCTCCTACACCGGCTTTTTTTTTTTCTTCTTTCTCCTTTTTTTTTTTTGTCAACCCAGGTATGATACTGAACAGCAGGTCTGATGGAGTACTAAAGAAAAGGAAAACACAGAAAATGTATCAGGGTGCTTGTTAAATAGTTACCGATAGGTACACAGTTCATGGAATAACAGGTAAGGAAGGGCATGTGCACAGGAGTACCAAAAATCTAGCAGCCATTGCAGTAGATTTTTCATGTGTCCAACACTGACAAGAAGTGTTATGGTTAGTATAATTAAGATATTACACAGTTTCTAATGAATATATATTCACATTTTATACTTCTTTCTACTTTACTTCTACAGCTTTTGAACAGATCAAGTAATCCTGGGACAAGGTCTATTACTGTCAGATCTGCTTGTAGTTTACTGTGATTTCTCCTGGGGCTGGGGCACTGTCCAGCCACCTCCCGTCTCACCCCTCCAGTCTTGAGTCCGTAACCAATTTTTAAACCCTCTGAAAATCCCAGCCCCGAACCTCTGATTTTCCCCCCTCCATGTAAACTTTTACTACCAGCACTTCAAGCTGTTGAGGCTGAGTGTTACAGCCAAGACAGACTGGGTTTTGATTTTACCTTCAGAGTTTATAAGCAAGAAGAAACTCTGAAAACTATGAGAACAGAGTTGCTTTTTTCCTTCAGATTTTTTTGATGGACAAACCAGAGAAATAAACAAGTGACTAAAGCCTGTGTATTTTACTGGTTTTTTCTCTTTCTGGTTAACAAGCAAGTTAAAAGAAGCTAGAATGAGTGATTTAAGTGTTATTCGAGATTTGGCATGTTTATTCTGCTGAGAAGTCAATACACACAGTTAGCCTAAAGTTTGTTTTAGAAATGAACTTTGGACAAAGTTCAAAGGAAGAATAATCGTTAGCTGTTACTGTAGATGCACGCACAAATTTTTCATGGTTTGTCTTAGAACTCAAATCCTAATGGATACTCACACACTGCCCACCATGATCTTTGGGTCACAGTCAGGTAGAGTGGCTCAGACCATTTGCACAGAATCATAGAATGCTTTGGGTTGAAAGGGACCTTAAAGGTTGTCTAGTTCCAACACCCCTACCAAGGGCAGGTACACATTCTGCAAGACCAGGTTGCTCAGAGCCCCGTTCAACCTGGCCTTGAACACTTCCAGGGATGGAGCATCCACAACCTCTTTGGGCAACCTGTTTCAGTGCCTCACCACCCTCACAGTGAAGAATCTCTTGCTGACATTTAATTGAAATCCACTGTTTTTCAGATTAAAGCCATTCCCCCTTGTCCTATCACTAGATGCCTTGTCAGAAGTTCCTCTCCAGCTTTCTTGCAGACCCCCTTTAGGTACTGGAGAACTGCTATAATGTCTCCTCAGAGGCTGAACAGCCCCAGCTCTCTCAGCCCATCTTCACATGGGAAATGCTCCAGCCCTCTGACCATCTTCATTATCCTCCTCTGGCCTTGCTCCAGCAGATCCATGCAACTCTTATACTGGAGACCACAGAGCTGGACAAAGCACACTAGCTTCTCTTAAGGTCTCCAGAGGGCAGAGTAGAGAGGGAGAATCACCTCCCTCGACCTGCTGGCCACACTGCTTTTGATGCAACCCAGGATGTCACCTTGCATATTTCTGGGTCATGTGGACTTCTCGTCAACCAAACTGAACTCAGCAGTTTAAACCACCTGATTATCACAGACATACTGAAAGTTTTTCCTTTAAAACTAGTGCACATTCACTACTCCTTTGTTCAGACTTGCAGTGCTGAAGAGAAGTGGTTCCTGGCTTTATGCTACTTAGCTTCACTTCCACGTCAGGAAAAAGAGCCACCACAGGTGTATGTGAAGCATTCACCTTTTCGTAGCATTAGAAGTGGTTTCATATACAAAATGGAAAGCAATGATACCATCAAATGCACAGCTGTTTGTTGAGAATACTTGAGACAAAATCTGAGAAGACATTAGTTAACATGCAGAAACAGTGTTGTAGCAGCTCATGGTAAAAGGAATTAGCAGCAAATGCTCCAGCTCCTAAGATACAGGTCACAGATTAGGTTGACAGTGGAGTAGCCACATAACACTTTCTCTTCCCCTGGTTTTCAGCAACAAAACTACCTTAAAAACTAAATTAAGAGTTAGTTACTTGCCTATTGCTGTTTTTCACTGTGCTTTTGGCAGCAATGCTAGATGGCTGGAAGTAGGAGAAGAGATAGCCTGTGCATCCATGCTTAAAAGAGAAAGCCATAAGACCATTTCAGGCAAGACATACTCCAGCCTAAGAAAGCAGTCGGCAATCTCTGTTTTTCTCATCAGTGTTTGAACACAGGGTTATCTCTCCAGCAGGAACCAGGCACGAAGCTTCTTCTACAAGCAAATATCTTCCCCTTCTCAGGGTCAGGGAAGGATAGGGCATCACTCACTTCCAGATGATAAGGAAAATTAAGCAGACTGTTTAGACCACCAGTGGGGGCCGGAGCATGAAAACACGGCTCACATGAGCCTTCACCATTAAGGATATCAGCCTAAGTGCAAACTGCATTGCTTAACACAACAACCTCTGACTTCAGCCATGGATTATTGCCTTACACAGGAGCTATTGCTTACAGCAGCCAATGAAGCAGACCCCTGCTTACCCCATCTCATCCCAAAATGACTTGCTTACTCATCAGCTGTCAGTCGGTCCAGGCAGGAGCGGTGCAGCCGCAAATCTTGCTGTTCTGATGTTCTGCCTGGGAGGCAGATAGGGTGAGCTAAAAACGGTCATAAGGAGTGCATTGGCTGGGACCTGTATTCCAGGAAAAGTAATTCAACATTCAGGCTGCCCTGTTCCTTTTGCAAAATTCATGTTATCCAGGCTGCCCCCAGCAGCTGAGCCAGGGAAGGCCTGTCAGCGCAGCACAGTGTTGAGTCTCTAGTGGGATTTCACTGGGGATGCAAGCTCTTCTGAGGTTGACCTTGAAAGGATAACTCCATCCTGCCATCTCTTACCCTCATCACTTACTCTTTTGCTTACCAGAGATACTGGTTATCTCATACAGAAAGTAGAGGACTGTAGCTCAGAGCCTGGCCTACTGCACCCAGAGAGTAGAGGGCACCTGTGAGGACCCACCACTGTCTCATACTTGCCAGCAGCTCCCAGAGCTCTTCTTCCTTGGTTTCCCTCTTAGGCTTTCAGTCTTGTTAAGGTTTCGGTATGTAAAGTCAGAAAGGTTGTCATCTCCTTATCTGATCTGACCTCCAGCAAAATGCTGGCTATTTCAACCACTGCTTCTTTATCAGATCTGAAATTACAGGAGGCCAGAGGGTATTTTACCCTTCATAAGCTGTTGCTTTCTGCTTCTGGAGGTGCGTCTGCTTTCAGAGACGCTGGTGGTCTGGCTGCTTCCAGACTGAAGGAAGATCTGAGCAGCAATCTCTGGGAGTCAATATGAATGGGTTTCTTTGCCTTTTTTTATCTTTTCTCTCTAAGTAGAAGTGTGCAGTCATAAAGGGGACATTGCTCATGGCTCTCAGGTGTCTGGCCAGGCTGACTAAGCATGCTTATGGATCCTGTACATTGTTTAGAATCACAATGAACTAGAGATTGTTTGCCAAGATGCAAATGGTCCAGGCAACAGTTTCTCATTTTTAAGCCAGTGATATGAAGTATCCTAGAAGCAATTGCAGTTCCATTATCAGGTAAAAGAAACTCTTTTTGACTCATTGTCCTTCTTGTTAAACAACAGAATGCCCCCTAATTCAGGCTGATTTGTTGTAATGTTGGTCACCCTGCTAAATTTTTCAGCTGGAGATTATTGGAGTGATTTGGGATATCTGTTCTCCATCAAAATACCCTTTTCCAGATGCTTTCAGAAGAATTCTCCTATCTTTGAGGAACTTGGAGGGAGAAAACATAAAAGAATTGGAAAGCTATGAATGGAAAGGAAACTTCTGAGTATGTTTTCAAGGACCCACTGAAAGGAATTTGCAACTTTGGTAATGAAGCATATCAGTGTGTCACTAACCTGATAAGCAAATAGAAATGCAGAGTGGTAAACCAAAGGCATGAGCCACAGACCATGACAGCATCTACCAGGTTGTAATGCAGACTTATAGATATCTCAACAGGTAGGCCTCCCACATGCATAGGAATCAGGCATTGTGACAAACAGCGCCAAAAAAAAAAAAAGGTGCATTTTTGTAAACAGTTAAACATCAGCAGAAGGGGTATCATGTCTTTTTCATCCTTTCAGGTGTTAGTGGTCATTTTGGCACCTTGAGGAGAGACATGATAAAGCGGAGCCTGCTCCAAGGAACATGCAATGTGAAAGGTCACTACAGGGGAGAGGCAGGGAGCCAAGGGCCTAAGGAAAACTTATGGATGATGATAATTGCAAGATGTTAAGTACTTCAAATATAAATTCTGATTGTGGTTTTCAAAAATATTTCTGTAAATTTGTCCCCTAAATCCATCTATCTCCCTAGACACATAAAAAGCCTGGAGTTTGAGTGGATGGAGCATCTAAGAAGCCATTCAGTTCTCTAAGTGTTTAACCAGACATATATTTGAGCTGCCACTTTAGGACTACCACCTGAGCATCATCCTGTCCTATAGAGTCATGTAGCAAGAAGAATATCAGTCATTGAAAGCAGTAAAGAAGTAGTAAGCTTTGGGAAGCATTAAACTACTAGAATCCTGTGTATTTATTACATATTGTCTTGACTTTACTGTGCTGAAAAGTAGCCCAGCATAGGCACAGGGACAAGGGAGGGAAGAAGAGCTGTGAAACAAGTGTTATGGAGGGATGAGGAAGGGGAACTCTAGGAGCAGAGCTCTGCCTGGCTTTGCATGCAAGAATAAGAGTTAACAATGACTGACTCAGTGCACAGAAAGGTCAATGCTAGTGCAAGTGTGCAGAGTGAGTTTTCATGGCCCAACAATAAGTAGTGTTAGTCACCTCTAGATTGTCTGGGATTAAGTGTATCGTGGGTAAAGATACCCCTGAGATGACTGATGCTGAACTAGGATGGGCTTGCTTACACAGTACCATGCCAGACAGCGTTGCATCTTCTGAGGAGCTGTGGGCCCCTGCCCTTCACAGCCCTTGGTGTCACCAGTCCTTCCTGATGGCATGACACCTTCTTCTCCAAGCTTCCTTGGCAGGTCTGGCTATTTCTGGGTTTCTTCTTTGGCTGTGTTATCTTGTCTTGCTGCTTTCTGGGATAATCCAGGGTTTAATGTGGCTGAATTTTCAACAGAGTGAGAAGGGGCAGAATAAAGATCAAAAGAAGAGTCAATAAACCTGATGGACAGGGAAGACATCTGCACAGCGAGACAATGCCCTTTTTATTTAGTCATGTCTTACAATACAGCTACCACATCATAAATTCAGAGACACATGTTTGTAGAGAGAGGCCCTCATGGATATTTTATTTATAATTGATTTTAATATCTTCCACTCAATTCTTCTGTTGTTTGAGTGATAGGCAAGTTGCAAAATATATCACTCAAGAGTTAGGGAATTAGGCAATTAAACCTGTTTGTGTGTTCTTTGTGTTCAAAATTGATTAATAACGGTAAGATACACCAACATCATGCTTTTCAGCTAAAAGACAGTTAGATAATGTCAATATATTCACAAATCTCATTGGCATTACTTCCCTATATGAACAGTACACATAAGTATAG